CTCGGCCCCTAGGGGCCCCAAGGAGGCCCCAAGGAGCGCCGCCGACGCGGCCGCGGTGGCGCTGACCGCCGTGTACTCCCCAACGGGCACACTGTAGTGCGAGTCGGTGACTTGGGCGGGCGCAGTATCCACGCCGACAACGGCAGACACGATTCGATGACGACGGCAAGGCCAATGACGGCGTCGACGTTGATCACGCCCACCGACAACGATGACTATGTCCTCGCGTCGGCGATGAAGGCTGTTGAAGGAGTTCGGCACGCGCGCGAGGCCGACGCGCGCGAGTGGCCCGCGTGGCATTACTTGACAAGGATCGCCCCCCCCCCGCACGCGCGCAAGGGCGCTCGAATGAGCTCGACACGCGGCGCAGGAGGCCCGTTTGGCAGAAATTGTTACACATGTTGGAGGGGCCTACGGTTTTTTTTAGAACCCGCAAGACCGCGAGCATTAGACTCCTTGGGAAACGGATGTTGCAAAACCATTTGTTTTGATTTGCGTTCGGGACGCTCGCTTGTGAAACCCTTGCGAAACCAATTGGTGTTCAAGGAGTTCGGCATACGCGCGCACGTGGCCCCACCTGTTGAAAGAGATCCTTGCGACATCACGCGCGCAAAGGCGTTCGAAGGATTTCGACATGCGCGCGCGAGAAGCGAATGTGGTAGCATTGTACGAAAAGGTTGCAAAACCTCTGGTTTTCTTAACCATTCGCAAGGGCGCGGGCGCAGGTGCTTTGGGAAACCCGCGTTGCGAAACCATGTATATGTGTTCGTAACTCTCGATTTTGAAATCCCTGCGAAATCTCAGATTCTTGATCGATTCCGGCATGCACGCGCGACGACGGGCGCGTGTGCACTCCGTCACACGTTCTGCAAGGGATGATTGAAAACAGCTGGTGTTTGATAAACTTGTGGCGCAGGATGCGGGGGGGCGGTGCCGAACTCAGCCTGGTTGTGATGGTATGTATTAGTATCTCGATCGGACGGTGAGGACAGAGTCCTATGCAAATTGCAATACGAGAAAGTGTAGCGTTACCCCTGGGGGGCTAGATCCTAGTAGTGTTTTAATTCGTTGACTTCTTCATATATATATATATATATGTGTGTTGCTTTGATGTGTTAGCATTGCGACCCATATTGTGCAATCTGTGCGGTACGAATAAATGGCGGCGACGAGCGGCGACGGCGGTAACGTGGCGGCGACGGCGGCAACGTAGCCGCCACACCGACAGAAAGGCCCAGACGACAGGCGGCGACAAGGCGGCGCCAGGGAAGCGACGACGGCCACACAGCCGCCAGGCCGAAGACACGGCCCCGACGACGGGCGGCGACGAGGCGTCGACGGGGCGGCGGCGGCGGTCACATAGCCGCCAGACCGAAGACACGGCCCAGATCCTCAGAACAGGAGCAAGGGCCCCTAAGCGCAAGCACTGTTGGGGGAACAATGATGCTGGAAGCACCAGGTGCTGGAATCACAGCGTTCAGATAGGCCAGGAGTAAGGAAAAACACGCTCGCGGGGACCTGCCCCAAAAAATACACAGAAAGGGAGCCCATGCCCCAACCACCAAAAAGCAAATACACCACAGCTACAAGCAGCCCCCAACGGTCAAACGGCGTCTGCTCAGGAAGAGAAACACGCAACGACAACCGCAGAACACGGGGACCTGGGCATGAAGCGCCAGCGGCTGGCTTCTCAGAAGGTTCGCACTATCCTTTTCTAGGTTGGCGCGGCCCGACGAAAACAACACTGCCAGAAACTCAAAGCATGAAACACAACGGGGCCCAGCCTACGCTTGTTTCCAGCCTCCCCGTAAGGGCCGGAACGCTCTGGAGCGGACGCGCGCGGAAGGAGGGAAAAGGGAGGAGAAGGCGGGGATGATGATGGCTCAAGAGATCAGGTGGGGCAGGGGGAGAGTGTGGAGGAGGGGGACGAGGAAGAGGATGGGGAAGAGAGGGGGATACTGTGGAGGTTGGGGCGGGTGGGGAAGAGAGGGGGGAGCAGAAGGAAGAGTAAGGGGGGGTAGCGCATCTTCCTCCTCCTCCTCCTCCTCCCTCCCCTTCTGACCCCCATCCTCACGGGGCCCAGGACGGGGAGTGGTGGTGGCGGCAGTTTCGGACAGTCCAGCCCAAGCCTCGGTAGAACAGCTGCTCGTTCCCGTGGCCTCCAAACATCCGGTAGGGATAGAGGAACTGGCAGAACAGGGAAAGGCCATTGAGGATCATCCTGGGAGGAAGCCAGCGATCCACCCACTATACCATGCTTGCTGGGCCGACCTGGGCCCAGGACTGGTGAATACGCCAGCCTGAAGGAAGCCATGAGAACGTGTGCTAACCAGCCTCAAACTCATCCCTATCCCTCAGATGATCGAGCAGAAAGCGAGGACAGTCCTGGGGATGTGCCGTCAGGAGCTTAGGGAGTCCTTCAAATCGGCAACGAGGTGAGTGAAGGGGCCCCAGGACACACAAATAAATACACACAAATAAAATGATTTCCCATATTTTCTGGGTTTCTGTCTTCCCCCCCACTTCCCATATTTTCCCATATTTTCTGCGGAATCGACGATTAATTGTGTCTGTGTTTGTTCCCTCCTGAATCCTCACGAAGCTGAAGATCTGCACGATGCGAAACTTGCGCTTGCCGCCGGACCAGGCTTCGGTGGCGCAGCGCTCCCAGAGCCACCACCGGCCGCACGGGATCGAGTGAACAAATCCGCCAGCCCCGAGCTTTCTCCGAGGCCGAAGGACGAGCGGACCGTTCTCGGGGTCTGACTGTCCCCTGGGGGAGGGGTAGCTGATGCCACGGGTAATGGTGGGCTGCTGCTGCTGCTGCTGGTGCTGATGCTTCGGAAGCAGCTGGAAGGTCTGTCGGGAGAAATCGGCACGCGCCGTACGCATCCGGGGAGGCGGCCCACTACAGAATGGGACGAAATCTGTCTGGGATGGTCCCCCTGCATCCCTCGCTCCCTCTGTAGAGGCCTCCTAGATGTGGTCCGAATAGATGGGGTTGGAGGATCGCGCCGCATCGCCAATACATCGCCGATAAATTGGCGATGCATCGCGATGCATCGGCGACGTCGGCGACGCATCCGCGACGTCGACGGAAAGACAACCGTGCTCCACACCGAGTCGCATCGCCGATGCATCGGCGATGCGGCGCGATCCCCCAACACCATCCACTCGGACCCCATCTGGGAAGCCGGAACTTTGCTGGCCGGATCCCGTGACGGGCCGCCTTAGCCCTCGGCACACGCCCAACTCTCACTCTCCACCACGACACCACCTGGGAGGTGGGCACTCGACACGCAGAACAATTGTCGACGGCGAGCCCGGCGGAGAAGTGAGAGGGGGCGGGCCTTCTCAGAAGGCTCCGAAGTCCCCCCGCCTTCTAGAAAGTGTCCTGAGGCTTCACCGAAGCCCGCAGACCCAGAGAACATCTCGGAAGGCGCGAGGGCTTCTGTGCAGTCCCGCCGCCTGCCGAGGACGCCCCCTCCCTCTCCCGTTCCCTTGGACGCCCGAAATGGGTACGGAAAGAATGTTGGACGCTCGTTCTGGGGACCTTCCTGGAGCCACTCGCTCCACTCGTGCGTCGAAGCTGCGTCGAGCGTCAGTCGAGTTGGGTCGACCCTGAGTCGAACCTGAGTCGAACCTGAGTCGAACTTGAGTCGAACTTGAGTCGAACTTGAGTCTAACTGGGGTCGAACAGATCCGTTAGGTGGGCTCCAGGAAGGTCCCCGAAACGAGCATCGAGAGAATGGGTACAACGCCCGACCACAAATGTTGTCCCAAACCGACAGCGGCCGCTGCTGGGCAGGCGGCCTCCTGCCTCCCATGGGCACAGGCCGTGGCGGCGCGGACAGCGAGTCCTCCGGGAGCCGCGCAGCGGCAGCGGGGGTGGCTCCGCGGGGTGAGCGCACGGCCGGCCAAGACTGAGGTCGGGCCTGTCCCCCTGCAGGGGGGTTCTGGACGAAAACTAAGAAAAAGAATGCTCAAAACATACGCCCCCCAACAAAAATCAAAGATGGTCCACAAAAATCGCGCCCAGAGTACTGTTCGACTCTGTTTGAACATCCCCCCTGTAGAGGGGCACGCCGGACTCAAGCCAAGACTCGAGAACACCATTCAAGAACCCGAGACCCTCGGCCGGCCAGACTGAAGAGCACTCGAGGGCATTCCCCCCTCCAGGATGCACGAGAGCATCTCACAAGCACGAAGAGCATCAGGGCACCCTCCCCGAACCGACCTCGATGTCATACCTCGGTCCGACTGTGCGCTGGGCTGCCCCTTGTCCCTGCGCTCCACGGGGAACTCGGCCAGAACAGTGAGCGGGCACTGCTTAGTGCTGCCAGCCGGTGGCCAAGACACCACTGCTCCAGGCGCAGTGCCACCCGGCCACCAGCGGCCAAACCGCACACTTCCACGACGACCACCACGGCATCCTCCAAGATGTGGTCGGAGGGCCAGGAGGGGGCAAAAGCTAGAGGACAGCCAGGGGGCAAAAGTGAGCGGGGGCAAGCCCTCGCAGGAGGCTCGAAGTCCCCCGGCCTTCTGGAAGCCTCCTGGGCCTCCGCCGAACACGCAGAGAACCTGGCAGAAGGCGCGAGGGTCGGGAGCGGCCAAGAGGGGGGTGTCCAAGCGGGGGGGGGTGCAAATCATGACCGGCGGCATGTGCGCGGCCCCGCGGGGGGGCCAGGGACGTGATGAAATAAGAAGAGGCGCCATGAAATCTAAGGGAAATATCATGGCCCACGCCATGAGATCCACCCCCCCCTGGTCATCATCCCCCCTCTCTCCCGCCCCCGGCTTCTGAGAAGCCCCGCCGCCCTCCGGGAAAGGCCCCCTCCCGCTCGCTGCCCCTCGCGCGCCTGCCGCCGGAGGAGGGCCCGCTCGCCGGAGGGCGCCCAGCACGCCGACCCTTCTCGCCCCGCGCGCGCGGGGGGTGGGGGGTGGAAAACAAACCTACCTCGCTTTTGACCACCCTCGCTTCCAAGAGATACCAAACGATGCCAGATTGCAGCCTGTGCTGGTCAGGCCGCTTGACGAGGAGGCGCGTGGTATGGCTTGGTTTTGCCTGGAAGCGAAAGCGGGGTAGGCAATTCACGCTCTGAGGGGGGGCAGGGGAGGACGAGGAGCCCGAGCAGCAAGAGGAGGGCGACGGGCAGACAGCCCCCTTGGGGGGGGGGCAGCTTGTGGCTCCCTAGAGCTAATGAGGCCGCCAAAGCAACGGCCCATGTCAAGGAGGGGGAGGAGGAGGAGGAGCAGGAGGAGGAGGAGGAGGAGGAGGAGGAGGAGGAATGGAATGGAATGGAATGGAATGGAATGGAATGGAATGGAAGGGAAGGGAACGGAAGGGAAGGGGGGAGCAGGACGAGGAGAAGGCGGCGGAGGACCTGGACGAGCATGAGGCGGCTGAGGACGAAAACGATACGGCGGAGGAGGACGACGAGGCCGCGCAGGACGGCGAGGCCTGAGCCCGCTCCGCCGGCCGCCCCTTTCGCCGACGCTCATCTCGACGGGCTCCGCTCGACGGGCGCCAGCTTCGCGGGGGCGCCAGTTTTAGGTCGGGCATGTCCCCCTACAGGCGATTTAGGAAGAAGAATGAAATAGTCAAAAATACGCAATAATAAAATGTCAGAAATGAGTTTGAAAAATTCGTCCCAAAACAATGTTTTGACTTTTTGTTTGCATATTCCTCCTGCAGAGGGACGTGCCCGACTCAACGCTGGCTTCCCTGACGGGCGGCGAAGGGGGCCGGCCGGAAGGAGCTGCCGGCGACGCCGTCGGGCGGCGCCGCGACCTGCGCGGTGTGCCTCGGCGGTCCCTCATCGGCGTCTAGAGCTCCTCCTCCTCCTCCTCCTCCTCCTCCTCCTTCCCCCCAACCTTCCTCCCCCCCTTCATCTCCCTCCTCCTCTCCTCCCTCCTTCCCTCCCTGCTGCACCCTCCCTCTTTCTCCCTCCTCCTAGGGTCTGTTCCCTCCCTCCTTCTCCTACACTCCTCCATCCTCCTCCCATTCGTTCCTTCCTCCCCCTCCTTTTTCCTCCTCCTCCTCCTCCTCCTCCTCCGCCCTCCCTCTCCCTGCTGCGTCCCGCCTCCCAGTCATCGAGATAAGGTGTCACTGTGGCCCGTTGGTTGCTAGTGCGGCCCAGTGGGTGCTAGTATGGCCGGGTTTCCGCCAGAGGGTATGAATCAACGAATACGGTGAAGGGGGGAGGGGAGTCTCCAAAGAGCCTCCTCCCCCCACCCCCCTTCACCGAAGAGCCTCTCGGAAGAGCCTTTGGGGGCCGCCGACAAGCCTCTTGGACTCTCCGAATAGCCCCTCGGAGCAGCCGAAGAGCCTCTTGGGCTCTCCGAGGCCTTCAGGGTCTCCCAGGAGCCCTCCTCCAAGGAGCCCTCGAAGGAGCCCTCCAGAGGCCTCCAATGAGCCCTCCAGAGCCTCCCATTCCTCTGCAGTCCATCGTGCTCCTCGGCACTCCTCCGCACTTCACTCCATTCCTCCCCCCTCTCCGCACTCCTCCCCACTCCTCTGTACCTTTCCGCACTTCACCGTACTCCTCGGCATCCCTCTCCACTCCTCGAAACTCCCTCCATCTTGCTTTTCGGCGTTCCGCCCCACTCCTCTGGAGTCCTCCCCACTCCATCGCACTACTCCCTCCGCCTCCCCATTACATGGCACTCCTCCTCCTCCTCCTCCTCCTCCTCCTCCTCCTCCTGCCTCTTCCTAATTCCTCCCTCGCTCTCCCTCCTCCCTCCACCATCCTCCCTCCTCACTCCTCTCTCCGTCCCTCCCCATTCCATTACACTCCGCGGCACTCCTCCGGAGTCCTCTCCACTCAATCGTCTCCCTCCTTCTTCTAATTTCATGGCACTCCTCGTCCTCCCTCTTTCCCTCCTCACTTCCTCCTTCCTCCCTCCCTCCCCCTCTTTCCCTCACTACTACTACGACGACTGCTATCAGTACTAGTACTCGTATTGGTTCTCGCACTACTACTAGCTGGCTACTACGATTACTACTTCCACTACTACTACTACTACTACTACTACTACTACTACTACTACTACTACTACTACTACTACTACTACTACTACCACTACCACTACTACTACTACACTACTACTACTTACTACTACTACTACTACTACTACTACTACTACTACTACTACTACTACTACTACTACTACTACTACTACTACTACTACTACTACTACTACTACTACTACTACTACTACTACTTACTACTACCACTACTACTACTACTACTACTACTACTACTACTACTACTACGACTACTACTACTACTACTACGACTACTACTACTACTACTACTACAACTACTACTACTGCTGCTACGACTCCGACTACTACTGCTACGACGACGACTACTACTACTACTACTACTACTAAAACTACTACTACTAGTACGACTAGGACTAGGACTAGGACTAGGACTAGGACTAGGACTACGACTACGACTACGACTACTACTACTACTACTACTATTTCTACTTCCAGTACTACTACGACTATTACCACTACTACGACTACTACTACTAACACTACTACTACGACGACTACTATTACGACGACTACTACTACTACTACTACCACTACCACTACTACTACGACTACTACTACTACTACTACTACTACTACTACTACTACTGCTACTACGACGATTACTACGACTACGACGACGACTACTACTACTACTACGACTACTACTACTACT